TACTTAGTTTATATTAGATGGTTGGAGGCAATCGGCAGGAAGCCTTGGACCTAGGTTTCGTGCTAGTTGGCACTCATCAGCAAGGCGTATCTGCAACCTTGAAGGAACTGATGTCCCTTCTGAGATTCGAACCCGCGTCACCCAGTGCTGCAGTCAGAGACGTTACCACTGAGCTATTCAGGCTCGCGACTGACCTCCTGTAGGACTGTATTGGATATTTTTGATTGAACACTAGTCAGTTCAATCAAAAATATCCAATACAGTCCTACAGGAGGTCAGTCGCGAGCCTGAATAGCTCAGTGGTAACGTCTCTGACTGCAGCACTGGGTGACGCGGGTTCGAATCTCAGAAGGGACATCAGTTCCTTCAAGGTTGCAGATACGCCTTGCTGATGAGTGCCAACTAGCACGAAACCTAGGTCCAAGGCTTCCTGCCGATTGCCTCCAACCATCTAATACCAACAATTCACAGTGCACCGTAATGGCGAGCCACCTAGCATGGTGGCCACATTGCAAACATGACTGATAGAATTCAGTCTGCACCGAAGATAGGACTAGACACATTACACTAGTTACTGACTAGTGTTCAATCAAAAATATCCAATACAGTCCTACAGGAGGTCAGTCGCGAGCCTGAATAGCTCAGTGGTAACGTCTCTGACTGCAGCACTGGGTGACGCGGGTTCGAATCTCAGAAGGGACATCAGTTCCTTCAAGGTTGCAGATACGCCTTGCTGATGAGTGCCAACTAGCACGAAACCTAGGTCCAAGGCTTCCTGCCGATTGCCTCCAACCATCTAATACCAACAATTCACAGTGCACCGTAATGGCGAGCCACCTAGCATGGTGGCCACATTGCAAACATGACTGATAGAATTCAGTCTGCACCGAAGATAGGACTAGACACATTACACTAGTTACTGACTAGTGTTCAATCAAAAATATACTTAGTTTATTTTTTAAAAGGCGTGCATGATTATACAGTCGCAATGCAGTTAAACAATGGACTTTCATAGTTAAATATCCAGTCATCAAGTAAACTATTATTTGTTGTAGGTTAATACAGGAGATTAGATGCATTTATCACTTACTAAATACAAATTAAATACCCTAAAGGTAACACTTGTATATAACTCACTTCATATTTCAGGTCACTTCAACTGTTACAGATGTTCAGTTTTATTTTTTATTTGCTTGTTTTCTACTCCAGTTTGGTGTAGAAATGCATAGTCCGAAGAAAGTAGTGAAGTGTAGTTTAGCATGGGAATGCAAAATTTAACTGCATTATGTGAGGCTCTGAATGAGCTGCTTAGGTTGACCTTGAGAATAGGCACATTTCCTATTGAAATTTAAATGAAATAAACAGTTTCTATGATTTAGTTCTCCCACTTCATGTGATTTATTGCGATTTTTTAAGAGGAACTGGTTATAATCCGTCGCATTATTTTGTTTACTTGAGCCTGTACTATCTGTGTGACTCAGGAGGACACTTAACATTTCTCTCATAAAACTTTTCAGTTATTCTTGGAAAACTATTTATTCAGTGAACTGTATTCTCCTCATTTCTAATCTCCCTCTTCATTAACGTTTATTATTTGACTTGACTTCATTTGGTACAGTACACAGTCAAAAATGGATCTTTACTGTTGAAAATTCGCTTAACTGCTTATTTCTCACAGTCCTGTAGAGATAACTACTGAAATTTCCTACCTGGTTTATGTATTTCCACTGTTTGCCATTGCTTAGTTTTTAATGGTGGTTTCATTTTAAATGGAACTGAGATCGATTTACACTCAACAGAGAAGTGTTTTGCGGTTAATCTTTCTCTGTCTGTATTGAAATTTCTTAGATTTAAGTACTTTTGCCTTGTTCCGTGTTATTACGCAACTGTCTCTACCTATCACCATCTAACAGATTTAAAGTGCGTCGTGACGATCAGTCGTCTTGATTAGTTATCACGTTGCCAACGTGAATGAAAGAATTCAGTCAGCATCAAGCACTAAACAGATGACACAGATTACTCTACTGTGACCGATCAGTTTCTGCCTGCTAATATATTTGATGTCTTTGCACTGCTCTGTTTTTTGGTAAAAATTAAATATGTCAAATGGAAGCTCATTGTTTTCAGCCACTCTTCTAATTTTAATTTATTGTTCTTCTAATTTTTAGGCACTAACTTCTTTTGCGAAAAATATTTTTATGTGTTACCTGCATATTTTACTGAGTTTTATGGTAATAATGATGGCTTATTATATTATTCTGGTTAACACGATAGTTACAGTGTGTGTAGGTTCCTAACTAAATCATTATTAAATCAAAGGTAGTAGTTATTGCGTTTGTTATTGTTATTACTAATACCATTATAAATAATCTTACTACCTTATACAACATTTTCAAAAAAGGATGAGTTAAAGGATCAAATTGTCAATTATTTGGTCAAAGAGACTATCAAAACCAATATCGGTGAATATAATGACAAGCGAATCTTCGTAAACAGTCATGGTCAAGGTCAGTGAGAAAGGCGGTTATTTCATGCATAGAGAATTCTGAAGGCTGATCCCATTCTGAATTAATTACTGAAAATACCGTTTGCCATCATAACGAAATATTGAAATATTTTACTCTATTCGATTAACTTTATTAGCCAAATACATGTATCTGACATTTGTTTACTTTCCTGCCTTTCCACTTCTTGTTTAATCGGTTGCAGAGTTACATCTATAAACACTTATACAAAAGAAGTCATGAATGTTCAGTTTATTCAAACTGAATATTTTTTGTATAGTTAATTTCAGAATTTTTCTTGTCTTCATTTTGAATATCAGTTTAAGTTATGTCCAGTTGAAATATTGCTTCTTCTGTTGTGTTATTTTGATGGTTGTCTAACTATGCAAATGTTTTTAATCTTGAAACTGCTCAAATGTGCAACTGATACCTCTCAAAGTGTATTTTTAGTGAATGGTTTTTTCTTACTTTAGTTTGACAAGTAGTGATCTTTGCCAATACTTGTAATATCTTGTTATTTATTTTACTCAACCAACTGAAGGAGGAGGTCCAATTATTAATCACATAAGCAATAATTCTCACATCTTACTGGCTTTTTGGAAAATGCTTTGGCGTCTTTGTAGTGTTTGGAATACTATTGTAACAACAGAAGACATGGGCCGGGCAACAGACCGTTTATTAAGGAAATCAAAGCATATTTATATATTTTCATGTACATTATTATAGATTATTTAAGCAAACCAACACAGTCTTCTGATTGGTTGTTTCTCACTTAAAGTTAATCTTTCATCTCTTTGTGACTGTTTCTTGAATGTCAGATCATCTATATGTTAACTGTATCCGCCTACCTAAAGTCTGCTGTGGTCGGTTTTTGAATCAATCTTTGTTCATATTTTCTCACAACCAATATTGAGAACGTAAACATTGACGTAAATTACTGTCTACCAATTTGGCTAGTAGACAGCTCTCACCACACTATTACTAAGATCCTTATGTATTGACTGTTATCTTCAAACCTTAGGATTTTCTAATTTTTCTCTTTAATTTTCTGCGTTACTGATTTTTCAGGTGACAAAATACTACCATGATAGAATAATTTTATTTGATAATAAGCATACAGTGATTATTCGCTAATGTAGTTTGAAGCACAATTTATTACTGATATTCATATTATGGTGATATTATATCACTGCGGTCAACTGATGTCACAATAAACTCAGACTTGAAACATAGGCCATCTGCTGTGTGTTTACTTGCGTATTTGAGCAAAAGAATCAACCACTTGGGTTCAGAAATATTTTCCGGTTGGCCAAATGTGAGTGTGAGTGAAGGGAAACTCAATGTACAAACATTTTTAGGTTGGATTTAACTAGATAATTTTGCAGATGAATGAGGTTTTTGTTTTAGTGTCTACCATCGATAAAATCGCTGGTTGGAATTTACATACAAAGTTGACAAAAAAAGATGAATAATTGAACATATCATATTATTATTGTATACTGATTCTTAGGAAGTTACCTTTTGTCCACATTCATTCTTGGGCAGATATGAAATCCTTTTGGTTTAGCATTATTGTACTTGGTTGGACGGTATAAATACAATTTTTGTAGAACATGTTTTTGTAAAACTAGAAGCACTGAAATGACTGCCATCGCTAGAAGTCATTGATAGTTTTAAATAACATTTTATGGTCTCAGTGCAATTCTTCAGATATCCACTGCAAAGTTTATTATTTCTGTTATGTGTTTGTCAGGCAAGTTGTATGTTAAAATCTGGGAAAATTTATGCAGTCTTTAAGGTGGTTTTCATCTCCGGCAAAAGTAAGAGTCATTAGGAACTGAGAGATATTAGAGGGCTGTTTAACCCTCGTGATAGAAAGTTGTTTAAAACTAGTTCATCTATCAGGAAACTCTAAAATAAACACCACTTCACATCTCATTTTTGACTCGATCGTAAATAGCTTTCTTGAAACTGTAATGAGACAGTATAATATAGGGCGAAAAAGTTAGGTGTGAAGACAGTTATCACTACGGGACTTAGTTATGCAGCATAGATAGGCGTAAGTTAAACGTCATAAAATGCTAAATTCTTACCGAATGATTAGAAGTCCCTATGCTCGTAAGGTTGTTGAAATCCACTAGTATTGGTTCTAGGTGCAGATCAGTGTGTTATTTTCAGTAGACTGAAACCACGGCAGTCATATTTTCGACTGCTTTCTAAGTGATATCAGTTGCTTGTAAAATATTCTGGTACCAGTCATTCACTCACAAACTGAATGAAATAGTTTCCGACTATTAATATGTACATTAAAAGAGATGATTATTCAGAAACCACTTTTTATCAAGTACTTTGAATCCAACTGTCTAATAAACAAAGAAGTGTTCATCTTTGAAAAAAATGCGTTTTCAAACGTTTGACAGAGTATGAATGCTTCTCTTTAAAAACAAGTTTTGTCATGAGAAGCAAATGATTCGTTTGGAAAGCTGAATAGGAAGCATGGACAATTGTCTTGTGAAAAGTATACTTCATAGCAGTATTAATAAAGACATTTTTTCTGTATCATTAGTGACAAATAGAAACTTAGTGTTACGTCAAATGCAATCGATCCACTTTATGAATGCAGTTAGTCATAGAATATATTATTATTTATTATTATTCCCTTGCGTTCCAAGTGGAACATAGGGCTTCAACAACACATCTCTACTTTGTTCTTCTTTCTGCTGTTCTCTTCAGTTGGGTCCACAGTTGACCAAACTCTCTCATCTCTTCCTCACACGATCTCCTCCATGTCCCCCTAGGACGACCCACTCGTCGCTTCCCGTTCGGATTCCACTCGAGGGCCTAGCGTGCGATGTCATTCGGTGGCCTCCTCAATGTATGCCCGATCCATCTCAACTTTCTCCTACATATTTGTTGAGCGATCGTCTCTTAATTGCTTTGTTCATTGCCAGAGTTTCTGGCTGATCATCTGATCTTCAGTGTGGAGCCAGCGAAGGCAGCTGTTGATGAAAGTCTGCAACCTGCTGGAAATCCTTTTCGTGACACGCAGTGCAAGTTTCTGACCGATATAGAAGAACTAACCGACTTGATATTGGTGTTGAAAATCCGAATCTTCTTGTTTATGCTGAGTGCGTAAGATTTCCAAACTGGTTTCAGGTTGATGAAGGTGTCGTAGAATATATTAGTCACCTTATAAAAGTGCGATTTGCTCCCAGCCTTAAGAAATCTAAGTGGAAATGTAAGAATACGTTTGTTATTCAGGGGATTAAAGCACACTACTAAACTTCTGGACGTGCCCACCAAATGACATTAATATTAATAACACACACTGTCACATCACTTTTCGAGTCGTTTGGGATAAATCGGATTTAGTTTTTGAAAATATCTTTGCAGTTGGTTGTGTGTGTATGAGTGATCGTACTTATAAACTGGCAAGTTAAAAGTTCACCTTGATGACTGACTTGCAACTAAGTTGACCTTGAAATGAATCAAGTCATATTAATCCCCTATTTGTTAATGACTATACAGAGGTCTTACTGGGATTCTCGCCAGAAATCGTAACTGGTGTGGTTCAGCAAGAAAGATATCTGGATTGATACTTGTCAGTGAAATTGGATGGGAGTGCTGTTATATAGTGAGTTGACAGGAGTTAAGAACGATAGACTGTTGGATTACTATGGAGAGGCTGAGTGTTAACTTGCTTGTCTCGTAACCTTAGGGTGATCGACTAATTAGGACGCTCGCCGACCATGCACATGGTCCGGGAATCAATCCCCGGCCGACGCACACCTGATATCAATGGACGGCCTGCTAAATTTGGGCTACCAATATCACGTGATGAAAATTCCATACTTGTACGAAAAATACTGTGTGGAGTCAAGCTATAATAAAGTTTAAAATTAAATTAATTAATTCTTTGGAATAGTTATAGGTGAACACTGCCTACTAGTTCTACAATTGGGTGGAACAGCTGTTCAATGCTCCCAAGACTTCGATAGTTCTTTAACTGAAATCGTTTCGTGAAATCTATTTTGTAGTTTCACAGAAGTGAATGAAATCGGGGTTGAATCATCTGTATAGTTATACAGAACCACAGTGAACTTGGTTCATGGGTGACTGAAACCAACCTTGATTACATCTAGTTATTTAACGTATTGAATTAACTTTTCCCAGAAGACTGGTGACAATTTTTAAAGAAATAACCGGTATGAAAATTGCTAAATGAAGACTTTAATTTTCAAGTAGGGGTTTTGTAGGGATTTTGTTTGATTGGTTGGAGGATTTCATCATGAGATGACATCAGTTGAAGAACCATTGGAAAACCTGGGAGTACTGGAATCTGTTTCGTCCTGGTTTGGGACTTTTCAGTAGTATGCAGTTACTGCAGTAACTCATGGGAGACATTGCGAAGTGGTCGCGCTATGTCATGAATTGGCAGAAGTTATAATTCATGGGCTGGTCATTGGATCGGGTCCCAGTGGCTTAACGGTCTACGAGCTCGCCTTGTAACCAGAAGGTCCTGGGTTCGAACCCAGGTGGGTGCGTACCGATGAAGTGTCCCCAAAACTAGGTCGAAACAGCTGTCCAGTACTCACAGGTTTTACAGTGGTTCTCTAACCAATGTCAGATGATGATGAAATCCCTCAACTAAAGATTTTAACCTTCACTGTCTATCTAAATACCCTTTATCGTGGAATCTACTTGAGTATATATATACTTAGATGACTTTCATTTTCCTATTAAAGATGAAAACAGCTTGAAAGAAGTATAAGAATCTGTTCAATGCTGTTAATTAACATTCAACCAGAAGAAGAAAAAGCTTCAGGATTAATGACTCTCATTAAATTATAATTGACTAAACATTGGGGAAACAAGAAAGTTGATGCAAAACAGCTGAGGTATAGAGATATAATTACTGGAAAAAGGAAGACTTTCAATTATTAATCCATAACCTTAATAGAATTTAATCTCTTTTCTAACTACAAAAGATAGGGATTACAGCATGCGTAGGTGCTATCTAGTAATGGTAATTACTAGAGTAGAACGAAAAAACTATTTAAATAACATTTATATCATGGTGAAAACGTCTATTCAATGATTTCGACACTGATTCGTCCATTTTTATTTCAAATGTCTCATTGTTAATCATTTATTCATTTGTGAATCGCCCATTCTATTGAAAGTCAATCAGCCTTAATATTCAACTTCTAAATAATCATCCAATCAAATTAAACAGTAGAAGAATACTGAATGGAGTAGAAAGTATTTATACTTGACTTTTTAATAAGTGTTAATTCAAAATTTGTGCAAATGAACGTATAATAAAATATTTTCATTAAAAAGAATATCTTGCACTTTGATCGATACTAATTCTTGGAGTACACTTTCGTCGAGATCTGCTTAGTGAGTAAGTGATAACTATATGGATGTAATACTACTAATAATAATTGCTTATATTCTTAAAATTCACTAAAAAAACGTTTGTCTTCAAGTAATTCACCAGATTTGAATCATTTTACTACTTTCTAAAGTGTTGGTTATGTATTGTGCATTGTCATAATATTCATGTGATATTCAGTTATGGAAAAGAAAGATAACACTGTATCTACCAACATATAATTACTAGTGAAGTGAAGTCTATTAAAGTGAATTTTGACTATCCTGTTGGTTGACTGGACCAAAATTTTCAACGTCTGTTGACATGTGGGCTCTAGGTATGAACAACTCAACGATGTATGAGGAATCAAATGAAGCAATTTAGTGGATGGTGACTAGAAGTGGAATCCAGGGTGCGCATTTCTTTCTATTTGGGACTGCTCTTGTGGATGTCCTTGCATTCCTCAATGAATTATGGTGTTCCTACTGAGACTTGAATTACGTTACCATCATTTCAAACATCGAAGCATTATCTACTAGACCACATGGCCCACTAGAGCTCCCTATTGTGCACCAGGCATCAGTTAATAACTGTTTAAGTCGATTTTGATTTTCTACGTCACTGACTGGATTATATCTCCATGCTATGACTTATTCCAGTATATGTTAAAATTTTCTTCAGTAGCATTGTAAAATTAAGCACATTTGTGCACTTAAAAACACATCAAAGAATTAAGTTTGTTTTCAATTCAAAAAAAACCCAGAAAACTTATTCATCTGAACTTCTTTTTACTTATCTCCTTTTTCAAAGCATACGGACATTTAGAATCAGGTTGGACATTCTGTGTATAAGATATTTGAGTTTAACTTCTGAGCACATTTAGTTTATTATTTTGGCATCTCCAGCTAACTGACACTTTGCCATCGTTTAAACTGAGTTATAAATTACTCTGTACAGAAGCTGAAACATTTACGCATTATTTGTAACTGAGAAATCAGCGAGATAAATTCTTCTCAAAATTTTGTTTTCTTCACTCACCTCCATACAGGGATTTATGTGTATGAAATAGACAAAAGTCCCACTGTTATTTTGAATAATTCACACTCTATGTTTCACTTAGAGAGGAAAAAAATTTCACACTTAGGCGAAATATTCACATTAATGATAAGTCATAGTGATATTCAGATCCTTTTGTATGTTTGGGGTTAATCCATTGAAAATACTTCCACTTAAGTGAGTGGTAGTGCTTTCAGCAATACTAAGAATCTGTTGGTTGATATTTATCAAAAGTCAAAATTTATTCACGAAATAAATTTCTTTATTATTGTTAACTATGTTTTTAGAGTAAGAATATTTGATGAGCCAGTTCACAATATCCAATTCACAATATTCAGTATTGCTAAGAATTCAGATAAAATCTGAACATATATAAGGTGATATGCAGTTTATCAGTCATCGTCTCAAGTTTACATTTAGCTGTGCAACTTCATTTCATAAAGAGATAAAGACTAGTGTTTCATATTTTACCAACAGGGAAATGACAACTGCTTCTTTCACTTATCTCTTCATACTGAATGTGAATTAAGTGGAACTCTCTGCAAAAGTTGTTTAATCTCAACGGACATTGTATAATATGATGGATTAATGGTTTTATAATGACGAAAAATGATCGTCTCTCAATCTGTTAGTTAACAATAAAAAAGGATGATTTTGAAGATGACAAAAAGGTGGTTGCTTTTTGTAAAGCTAGTCAGTTACTATGATGACAGTCAACCCCATTTTCATTGACTGAAGAGAGATATTGGAAGTGGTACACGCTAAAATAATATTTGTATGTCAGTTGTTTTTAAGAGTTTATTATTTATCCGTTCCTTTACATGGAAATTTCTGTTATTTGTCACTAACTGACCAAATCGAAGTACAGTAAATGTTGTTTCACTACTCAGTTGATAATTGTATTTACTTGCAAAGATAGTGAACAATGAATTTTTAGACAAGATAAGATTCTTCAACATACATTTCATACACAAAAGAAATGTTTGTCAAGTTGGTGGTTAGATTAATAGTATCGAATCCTTGTAAGTAGTTCACCTATCTTATTAATAGAAGTAAAAATCAGTCCAGTCAAACAAATGAGTCGAAATTGAAAAGGTAAGGCAATGATTAATTAACATTGTAGTAGCTAGTAAATTTAAGGGAATAGGTTATCATAGTAAATTAGCTAGAAGTTAGAGTGGGATTTAATTAAATCCTTTTGATACAATTTATATTTATCTTTTCAGTAGGTTTTATAATACTCAACTCTTTTATTACAGACGGTAGAAATGCTTAAGATTGAGATCCTTTACGATGCTGAAAACGAATTAATAAGTTCATACCAGTTCCATTGGGGAAATCTGTCGGAAATAATTTACATAATGATTCATTGTTAATTTGGATATCGCGTAATCTGATATTAGACCACTTTTGGAAACTATATGACTTCCGAATGTGTTTTGTTTCATTAACTCAGTGATACATACTTAGACGTTTATTTCAGATTTTCCTATCCATTAAAAATTTGTTAGTTAAAATCATGATATTAAACGTCTCAGCTTCATGTTCTTTTTGAACAGCTAGTGACATTCGAATCAGAAATCTTTTTAAGCTGTCTCCAAATTAAGTAGTTAGGAAGTTGTATCTTAATATTTTTCAAGTCCTACTCTTCAAATTTAGATGAATATATATATATAGTTTCAGCACAAAATGTATCACATTTGGAGTTTGGACTTAAGAGGCAGTTAACGGTGGTACTTGTTCACTGAAGTGTCTGAATATTGTATTAGTACTGCAAATTTATTCGCCAAGTGAACAGAAAGTTAATGCACACAGATAAAGTGATCAGTAAAATCCCATAACTAGTTTGAAAGTTTATATTTAGAACAAATTACGGCGTATAATATCACGAAATACTTAAACCACGCAGTATCTGACTCTGAGAAAAATCATAATACAAATAAAATGGGTTCCATACATTTTACTATGTAGAAATGTTTATTCATTTTGTTATCATTGTAGTAAATCGGCGGCGTTTTTTCATAACAGCTTTAGATTTCTTGTTCAAGGAAAGCAAACATGCGCCTGCACATACATCTTGGGGATAAGGATAGCTACTGGTATAACAACAAAAATCAGACTTTCGTAGCGATTACCTATTATTTGAGTTCCTCCATTTCTCAATTACAGATGTGGTCCCATCACTGTTTGAGCTTACATCACTTGAATGTTTGATACTGCTGCTTACGTCTTACATAAGATTGTATAGAACAACAAGATTAAGTTAGTTTAAGGGTTAATTTTCACCCTTATACTTAGACCCCTTATCTTAAAGTTAAGATTATAATTTCTATTATCAAGGCTTTTTTATATTCAGACTAGGATGTTTTTTCCTATCTGTGTTTTGATAGTTACAATACTGTATGTGCTGATGTTCTGTTAGTAGAACGTTATAAAAGTTAGCCAACTTTGTCTTTTTGTTAAAATTCTCTAGAGACAAAACATAAACTAGCAGTTAGCGCTCTGTTAAAAAGTGGTTAACTTAAATGTTATAAAATACTACGAGAAAATCTACAGCCCAAGACAGAAGACTTCAACCTGCATCCTGTTTTCACTCTGAAAACTTTCCAATAAACAGCTGTCCATCAATACAACACAGTGTATCTTTTCCCTTCAATTATTGAATACCCTCGACCATCACACATTTCCAAGAGGTATAAATCTGATGTGTTTGATATTGATAAACTTCATTACTTAATTGTTGCTGATGATGTCAAACAAACATAAGGGTGAAGCATTCACAACTAAGTATCAGAGTTCCGTAAAAACAATGACTTTCATCTCCACCTTGTTCTACCAACCTTTTCCGTTACTTTAAATTTACCAGGTTAATTATTTGCTCAAAATAAACTTATAGGAATTTATCATCGTATAGAAAAAATGATAAAGCACTAGTTATTTCGTTAGAGCTTCTCTCTTTGGTTAAGTTAAATGTCAGCCACTTGACATATTTTTTGTATAGACAGTGATCTTTTTTTATAATAATATTAATAATGTCAGCTACCGTGATAAATATTTTGTAGATATTTACTTAATTGTTTGTTTATAGAAAAAAGTTTTCTGTTTGTCAGATAGACATTTACTCAGAGGGTTAGTTTGGTAGAACTAAAATATAAATGTTCGTCTTAAAATTACTTAAAATGATCCCAGCGTGTCTAGAAAATCAGAACAAGATTTCTCTGAACATTTTGGTGTGTAAGGAACAGCTTCTTCAACAGAATTCTAATGACCCGGTCCTCAGATTATTTCAGAAAATTCGTAATATCTATGGTCTGTTTATTCCTTATAAAACAGAGAGTCAAGGGTTAATGGATGATTACCACATCCATTGTGCATCTGACTATTATTAGTTTTGCCAACATTAATTTAATGACATTTTATGTTGTCATGATCAAATTAAACAAAAGTGCTCTGTTACCTTTATTATACTATTTGTTAAAATTAAAGCAGGTGGTTTACGTTACACTGGATTGAATGGGTTGATCGGCCTACCATAACAGTTTTCAAAAGACCAGAACAGAGATTTTGTAGCAACTCAAAATTTTCTATTAAATTTACTAATTAAAAAATTCACCAGTTTACAGCCTGCTCACTACTTATGTTCTTTGACGCAACCTAATTCCCTATACAGAAAAGGTAAATAGTCTCATTTATTATTTATATCACTTGGAAATTGTTCAGTATGCACTGCATTAAATCTTTTGAAGCTAGGTATCGCAAGGCGTTTTTCCCTGACTAATCGCTGGTGAATTATTGAGCATAACATAACTAATGAATCAGCCGGAACAATGTCGTTTAGTGAAGCGACTGAAACTGTCTTCATCAGTAGTATCTTAGATGTAAATAATTTATTTCATTTTACTAGTTTTCGTTTACTTGATTTAAAAAAATGTTTCCTATTTTTGGTTTTTATTAATTGCTCGAATGGTTATCTG